GGTCCCCAGAAACCAGCACTGCATTTAAGTCAGGCCCAAGCCGTGGCGGTGCCTGGACACCTTAAGCTGATATTTTGGCGAGTTTAGCAACATGAAACCATGGTCTGAAAGTTACCTTTCCTTAGCCCAGCAAAACAGTGGCTGGAGAAGGACCAAGCTTAAACGAGCGGGATCGTGTGGGTACGAGCTTCCCCTGACAAAAAGTTGTAAGTGAAAAAAAGGAGGGTTCTGGCTCTGCGCTCCGGTAGGCCTTGTGGCATCCAAAGAGAAGTTTCGAGAAGGAGCTGGGATTAATATGTGAAGGCTGTGATCCCGTGCGCTGGCTTGGGGCCGACCCGAGGCACCACGAGGTCCCTCCTCGCCCTGCAAAGACGAGCACGATGCAGCTTTATCCCCTCAGCTCTGCCGCTGCTCCGCTGCGGCGCTTCCCCCTCCTGTGAGGGGGCCTGGGGGTGCTCGGGGCCGGCGGGCTGAAGGGGCAGAGCTCTGGTCACCACCACCACCCAACGTCATCTCTAGGGCAGAGCCTGGTGCGCAGCTTTGGCCTTGGCTCTGCCAGTGCTGCGCCTGCGACAGAGGGGTTTTCTGCTGCGGTGTTTTTAACTGTCCGTCCTAAAACTTAATTTCTTGCTCTGCTGATGTCAGAACTCTTGGTCAACTGGTAACATTTCACCTAGGGGCTTGCTTGCATTAACTCCTCTTGCCGGCTGAACAGGAGCCAGAGTGTGCCCAGGGGGCCAAGGAGGGCAACAGCATCCTGGCTGGTGTCAGCACTGGCGTGGCCAGCAGGGACAGGGAAGGGATCTGAGCCCTGGGCTCGGCACTGGGGAGGCCGCCCCTCGCTGAGGGGGTTCAGTTCTGGGCCCCTCACCCCAAAAAGGCCATTGAGTGACTCGAGCGTGGCCAGAGAAGGGCAACGGAGCTGGGGCAGGGTCTGGAGCACAGGTCTGCTGGGGAGCGGCTGGGGGAACTGGGGGGGTTCAGTCTGGAGAAGAGGAGGCTGAGGGGAGACCTCCTGGCCCTCGGCAACTCCCTGCCAGGAGGGGGCAGAGAGGGGGGATGAGTCTCTGGAGCCAAGGCCCCAGCGCCGGGCCCCGAGGGAATGGCCTCAAGCTGCCCAGGGCAGGGTCAGGCTGGCTCTGAGGAAGGATTTCTGTGCAGAAGGGGCTGTTGGGCGTTGGAATGGGCTGCCCAGGGCAGGGGGGAGTCCCCGGGATCCCTGGAGGGGTTGAAGAGTCGGGCTGAGCCAGCGCTGAGGGGTCTGGGGGAGTTGGGAACGGTCAGGGGGAGGGTCATGGTTGGGCTGGAGGAGTTCAAGGGCTTTTCCAACCCAGATCCTGGGTCACTCTTTGGAACGCCGCTGCTGTGGTGGTGAAACCGTGCCCAACTGTTCCTCCTGGGTTCACTTGAAGGTGCTAAAGAGGAAAACTGGAGAGGCAGCAAGAACAGGAGAGCTAAAAGATTGCTCTGGACATGCAGTTCGTCATCATAGACAGCAAATAACGTGCTCTGGGGGAAGGAGCAGAAGGTACAGAGCGAAACTTTGGTGTGAAAGCTCTGAAAGCGTAGGGCTGTGGGGGCAGCTCTGGGGCTGGAGGCACACGACGCTCCTGAAGGGAGGGCCCCAAAGCCTCTGTATGTTTAGCTGTAATGTACAGCTCTGCTTGCAACTGTGTGTGGAATGACTTACAGCCGTCCTCCTCCATCCAGTCCTGCCACTTGTGGCCCCTTCAGATGTTCAATGCCATCAGGAAGGGAGGAGCAGCAAAGTTTGAGCAGTTTTATTTGGTTCTAGAAGTACTATGATGTCTGTAAACGGGGTGACAAGATGTTTGCTGAGCACAGGTGCTCTTCTGCAATCTGAATTGTGAACAGGTCAGTGAGGAAACGTGTAAGGCTTGAGGTCTGTGAACCTGCTACAGAGCACGTGTTGGCAGCCCGGAGAGAATCCCCTCGTGTGTGGTGGCTCTGCCTGGACTAGGAAGGAGAGCTTTCCACACCGAGCCTAAACTCTGCCGCCACTTTCCCTACTCAAGTGACTTTTCAGCCCCAAGCATCGGTTTCAGAAAATCCTCTGGGGCGCCTCCTTTGTCGTCTGCCAGAAGAATTAACGGTGTCTCAAGCCTGGGAGGCTTTGCGGGAGGAGGATGGGAAGAGCGGAAGGGTGCCAGCGCAGATGTGGAGACCTGGAGCGTGCGGTGGGTGGCCAGAGCCCGTCTGGACCCGGAGCAAGTGTGGTGCTGGCCAGAAGGCTGCAAATATCTCGTGTTACATGAGTCAGTTTGACTTGGTGTTGTCCCCCGCATAGGGAGAGCTGAGGCTTCTGACGGAACAACCTGATCTGTGCTGAAATGTTTGATGCTGTCTGAGCTAGACTTGGAACACGTCGAGATAAAAGTCTATCAGAGTTATGCAAGAGAAGCTGTAATTCATTTACTGCCCGAACTTTCACAGAGCCCTGCCCTGTGAAGAGATCTGCCTGTGTTTGTTTCTTCCTTTTCCAACAAACCCCAGTGCTGGCTGTGAAACGGTCCGAGCCCTGCGCCCACCACCGGTCGCATTGTTAACACCGAGCGTGGGCCCAGCGGGGTGGGCGAGCAGGTGCCCAGCGGGAATTCCGGCCGGGGGGGGGCGGACTTTGTCCAGCCCGAGCAGCCAAGAGCCTTGGGTTTGCATCCCTGAACAGCGAGGGAGAACAGGAGCCTCCTCGCCCCCTTTCTGCAGCATAAGCAGTCACCCCAAGAAAGATGCTGAACGTCATTTGTATAAGTGATTTGATTTTAAGAGGAGCGTTAATGACTTAGTTAGGCTTCAGCGGTTTGAAGCGCTTTGGAAATGATTCCAAAGAGGAGAATAACTAAAGCCATGGCAGTAAATGGAAACGGGATAAAATATGACATGGATTTACCAAGAATTGGTTGTACCTCTTCTCCTCTGGATGTGAAATCCTTTTTTTGGATAAAGGAATCGGGACAGATCTAATGTGTCTGGACTTCCGCAAAGCATCTGATCCTCCGCTGCGTGGAAAATTGTAAATGAAAGCGGAGAAGATGAGGATTAATGTAAAGAATTGTGGGGGAGAGACTGGCTGAAGCACAGACAACAGTTTTCGGAGGGTCGCTTGGTCTGGAGAGGGGTCATGGCAGAGCTGCTGGAAGATGAAATCTTGGAACAGTCGTCTTGAACGGAGTTTTTGTAATGGTTTTGGCACAGGAGGCGCGCTGAGAGAATTTTCACAAAACACTCCTGGGCTTGGTTAACACCGCAAAGGTTTGGGATGCCGCGCAGGAGAATCCAGACCGCCTCGAGAACTGGCATGATAAAAATGAGGCGGAATTGGGTTTAACGCCTGTGCAGGGTTGATTTAGCCCTAACCGTGGGAATAATCCTGTCGCAGACAGTGTAATTTGGGGTGGCTTCCCTGTAAATTCCGTATGGGCTCAGTCTCAAGTCTCGTGCCCCTTTGGGCAGCGGCCTGACACCAGCAAGGGAGGAGAGCTGGCTAAGCGGAAGGTAGTTGGTGTGAGTGCAAGAAAACGTGCGTAAACCGGCCATAAACACACCGGAAATGGGAGTATTGCCAATAACTGGAGGTACGGCGGTAAAAAATACAAATTTTAGGATGAATCTCAAACAACATTGTAAAGGAAATCCCCGGTGTGGTGCTTCTGATAGATCTGAGGGGTGAGAGCCTGTCCCCAGGTCCCTCTCCCTCCCCCTTTCCTCGGAAGGAGAAGGCACCGCGTTGAGATTTGGGTGAGACTTCGTGAAGTGGATGGATCTAGTAGGCGCCCTCCCACGAAACTAGAGGAAGATCTGTGACGGTGGTTAGCAGCGTGGATGGACCCCTGGGGAGGTTCTGGGCAGGAGCCGGGGGATCTGGACGTAGATGAAAGGGCGCGGAGTGTTTTGGATGCGGCGACGTCCAGCGAGCGGCTGTCGCAGAGAGAAGACCACCGGCAAGCTTGTTTACTTTGGGGGTAAAAAAAAAAAAAAAAAAAAAAAAAAGCTCTGGCGTGGAGCAGCTCCAGCAAAACAGAAAACCGTGGAGTGGGACTCAGCGATGTTTTCTTTGTAGTGGTTTGCCATCTTTAGGAGGCGGGTAGTGTGTGCCTCCTTCCTGCCTTGCCATCTCTCTGCTGGATTTTTTTTTTTTTTCTATTAGAATCCACTCAGAGTACTCGTTAAAAAATTGGATAAAGGGTAAAGGACCATAAAAAAAACCCCAAATACTCAAATGAAGGCGAAGCCTCTGAAGGAGTAAAGAAACTCATCCGTGGACCAAAAAGCCCAAACTGTCAATTTTTAATAAACCTTCACCTGGTTTTGTTATTGGCAGGCAGAATCTTTTGAAGTCTTTTTTTGGGGGGGGAGTGTTGGGTTTTGTTTGGGTTTTTTTTTCCTGCATTGAGTTTGCCCAGTGACTTCAAAAGTAAGACACTCCTGTCTGAAAATCAAGTCTCGTGGATATTTGATCTGATGCTCTGAATCAGCTCAGAAGGGCCTTGGCCTCATCCTTCCCCTGGGGGTTGGGGCTGGGACTCTCATGCTGTGTAGCCGTGGCACTTTTCTTGGTGTTTGTCTTGTTGCTCGGCACCGTAACGGGCTGCTGGCCTTGTGCAGCAAGGCCGAGCTTAATATTGAAGCAGCAGCCCCTCCTCGTGAAGGTCTTTTCCTCGAACTGGGACACACACACACACGCACACCGGAGCTGTGGAGGTACCGTCCCTCTGCTGTCGCCTGGGTGGTCTGGCCCGGCCCTGCCGCTTTGCCTTTGAACTGGGAAGCCCGGGCGCTCGCGGCCGTGCCATGCCTGGCCGTTGGGCTGAGCTCGGCTCCCCTCCGGGCCCCGGCCAGCCCTGCGTGCTGGTCCGGCGTGGATGATATTAGCAGGAGCAGGACTTTGTCATGGAAGAAAATCCAGGTTGTAAAACGCACTTGGAGTTCTTGTGTCACTTTGCCAGAATGAAAATCCCTTCTTTTGCTGTTTTGCAGATGCTTGTGTTGACAATATAATTCCCGCTCAGCGTGCCAGAATGGTAATAGAAACCAGACTTGATAAAGCAGCACCGCAGACCTGAAAGCTTAAGTGGCTGAAATACGATCCTGACTACTAGTCAAGATAGTTATAATAGTCAAAACAACTAGTTATTCTTGGCGCGCGCCATTCTGTTGGCGATAACGCGTCTCCCAAACTCCGATAGCAGAAATACCTCAGGGTTTAGAGGGTCGGGAACGCTTCCTCCCATCTCCCACCTCTTCATACTTTTTAAATCAACACATAGAAAATGTCTTATCGGTTGTGGTGAAAAATTAAAGCTCATTAGCCAGCGTTGCTCTCGCTCTGCCAGCCCTGGGCCTTGTTGGCATGGGCACGGCGAGCTGCCCGGGACTGCCGGGACACAGACTTGGCTTCGTTTGTTTGCAGATGTTGGTGTTTAAATTCAGGCTGGCCTCGTTGTCTTAATTTGCTCGGAAGATTGTTGGCTGTTGCCGTAGATACGAGAACAAGTTAATTGGGAATTAATAGATTTGCAGTTGTGCAAATTGGTGTTTAATCTTTGCAGCCTGCTTAACCTCCTGGGCTGGGTTTTTTAAGTCTCTGGGGAGTTGGGCTCTGCTGGTTCTGCCCCATTAGTAGTTTGATCCTGGCTTAAAAGAGTCGCCGGCTCCGCAGCAGATCCACGTTGGTCTTCTGGGCCGCGTGTGAGGAAATGGGGTTTAGCCCCCGCTGGCTGAGAAAGCTCCTGTGGGCAGTTAGGCTGGCTCAGCCGAGACGCAGCGACATGCTAAACGCTGCCTGCGCCGGGACCCGAAGGGTGTAGTTGAGGCCCTCGGAGCCGTGCTTGTGGAGCTTGCGTTGGTCCGATGGCAGCAGCTTCCAGCAAAGCTCAGAAACTACACCCCGACCCGCCACCACGTTACTGATTTCACCCGCAGCAACGGAGAATTTATGTTTGTGAAACGAAGGGGCAGGCGGGCTCCTCTCTTTCTGTGCAGCGGTGGTCGATAACGTCTTCGTTTTGTTTTTTTTGACAGAGCGGAAGCAGCTTCCATGTGTTTGACCAGGGCCAGTTTGCCAAGGAGGTGCTTCCAAAGTACTTCAAACACAACAACATGGCCAGCTTTGTGCGGCAGCTCAACATGTGTAAGTATCTCTGGGCAGCTCGGAGTGCAAAGGGCAAAGCTTGACCTAAAATAAGGTTCCCCTGCTCTGCCCGGGTTGGACATTTCACTGAGAGCATTTGCTTGCGTTGCAGTCCCTCAGGTTTTGGGGACCAAGGGGTAGTTTTAAGCTTGGCCTCTGTTGAAGGGGGATAACAACTTCTAAAGCTGAAAACTCCTGCTAGATATAAAGAGCTTCAGACCCTGCGAATTTCCCTGGTTGTTAGCGCAGGAGTTCTGGACGTTTTCCTGGTGTTGTCCCATCGTTAGTGTTTGCGATGGCGCTTTTTGCCGTCCTGAGTCGTGGAGGAGGACGCTTCCAGTGAGACAGGCCCACCCGCGTGTGACGTTTTCCACTCGTTTTCTTGAGGGGGGGGTTGCTGCCAGCATTGTGTAGAGCAGGCGTTGACTTGAACTCGCTCTACTAGCAATTATTTTTTAAAAAATAATCCGTAGAATCGTAACAAATAGGGCTGGAGGGACCTCACAATCGCTGGGTCCAACCCTCTGCTTCAAGGCAGGATCAACTTCCTTTGTGTTGTTCCAGATGATTTTACACCTAACCCGTATTTTCCAAGCCCCCAGTAATCGAGCTTCCTTAAGTTCATGCCGTTACCGTGAGGACGGTGGAGCTGGTGGCGGGATGTCTAACCCAAACCCTCCCAGCTACGGTTGAAATCCTCCGCTGCTTTCCTGTCTGCTGCAGATGATGCGCAGAGATTTATCCCCGCTCCCTTTGCATCAGCCTTCGCGGCTTTGAAAATTTGCTACCTCTCCTCAGTCCTAGCTTTGTTTTTTTTATTTATTTTTGAGAGCAAACAGCCTGGTTTGTTCATTCTCATCGGTTGTTTTCCAGCCTTTAATCATTTACATTCCTCCCGGAACTTGACTTTGGTCCGTCTCTGTGTTGAAGTGCAGGAGCCAGCGCTGGGTGTACCGCTGGGTGGGATAAAAACGAGTGGTTTGTCTCCCCCGAAGACCAGATTTCTGTGCACATCCCTTTTTGGCCCTGCCCTTTTTCTCAGCACTGGGAACAGACTTTTGTGTTCGGTTCCCGACCCGCTGCAGTGTTCAAACCATCTTCTGTCCAGCTCCCACCTACCCACTGGTTTTCCCTCCCGTATTTCTTCGGTTTTACTCCCACTGCAGAGTCGTACCTTGTGTTTGTCAGCAGAGACTTCCATTCCTCTTGTCCAGATCACTCCGAATTGCCATCCCGCCTTTCAGCACGCCTCCCCAGGTGTGATATTATCGGCCGCTTCAGCAAACACGCTCCAGTCAGTCCTTCATGATGTTAACAGAGACACCAAGCAGGCCTGGCCCCGCGCTCCTGTACCCAGGGCTACAAGATTTTTTGCTTACTGCTCCCTAAACAAGGCTTTTTCTTTGGGTTTGTGCCCATACTTTATCACTTTTATCTTGCTGATTGTCCTGCTTCGGGGTTGTCATGCTTTGGTGGAGGTGTCTCCTGCTTTTCTGTTGATAAAGCTTGCTGTCTTGTCGTGGAAGAAAATTCAGTTGGTTCAACCTCACCTTTTCTGGTCTTCCTGCGTTTTGCTTTGGGTTTTGTTTGGGATTTTTTTTTTTTTTACTTGCACACATGTGTATGCGAAAAGTGGCACCGGCTTGCCCAGCTCTCTGAGAAGGGTCAAGAGTTCCCAGAGAATGAGGGAATGCTCCACTTCCCACCACCGTTGAGGAGAGCTTTGCCCAAAACACCAAATCCTGCCAGGAGAACAGGGATGTCATTGGGCTCCTTACCCGTGGTCACACACGGGATGGCCGGACACCTCCGGAATAGTTACAGGGCGGTGAAGGGCAGGGGAAGAACATTATTCCAGGCACCAGCCCCTCCTTTCTGTGACAGGGATAGAAGAGCTGGAACGGAAAGAGGGGATGGGAAAAAAGCATATCTGAGCGGTGGACTGTTCTTTTAAAAAGGAGCAAAAAAGAAGGGATCAATCTCCCAGGCCAGGCTAAGAGAGGGCTCAAACTTCTTCCTACCACCACCTTCCCCAAGTGGTTCAGCGCTTCTGGGGAAAAAAAGTGAGTCGGATGCTAGAAAATGAGTAAATCCCGTATTCACAGAATCACCCTCGTTGGAAAAGACTTTGAAGATCATCTACGCCAACTAGTTCAGCTCTTTGGAACTTTTTTTTCCTGTGCTTAATCTGGTTTTTAACATTGATCCTGTTCTTCCCAATCTGTCTTACAGAGGCGTTGATTTACTCGCCTTATGAAAGGGATTTCTTAGCGTGTGCTTGGTGACAGTTTGAGGATTTTAGTTTATTTTAGAGTCGAGGGATAACGTAGATGTGTGTCCGAACTCGAAAGGAAATTCGGAGTTTGTCCCCACACTGCTTGTTGCGTTTGCTTGAAGGACGGGGATCGTTAAAGGACGCGCAGCGAAGAAAAAGATCCTCGAGGCGGAACGTGATCTTCCACACTTAGTTTTGTGGGATTTGCTTGTTCAGCTTCTCGGATCGCGTTGTGTTTAGCATAGTGGTGTTACCCGTTCCCCTGCGGGGACTCTGCGGTTCATTATCCCGCTGGGTGACGCGTCCAGCAGCGTGAGGGTGCTGCTGAGCTGGTCCTCAGGCTGCAAAACCCTCTGCAAAACCCGAGCGAGGGTCATGACATTCTCCAGAGCCGGGGATTCGTGTCATGGCCTTGGTCACCATTACGGGCAGAGCCAGGGGCAAAACCTCTGATCAGCCAGGGGCTGCCCTTGGGCCACAACAACCCCCAGGGGGGCTCCAGGCCTGGGGAGGAGTGGCTGGAGAGCTGCCGGTCAGAGAGGGACTGGGGGGTGAGAATGAGCCAGAGTGTGCCCAGGGGCCAAGGAGGGCAACGGCATCCTGGCTGGTGTCAGCCCTGGCATGGCCAGCAGGGACAGGGAAGGGATCTGAGCCCTGGGCTCGGCACTGGGGAGGCCGCCCCTCGCTGAGGGGGTTCAGTTCTGGGCCCCTCACCCCAAAAAGGCCTTTGAATGACTTGAGCGTGGGCAGAGAAGGGCAACGGAGCTGGGGCAGGGTCTGGAGCACAGGTCTGCTGGGGAGCGGCTGGGGGAACTGGGGGGGTTCAGTCTGGAGAAGAGGAGGCTGAGGGGAGACCTCCTGGCCCTCGGCAAGTCCCTGCCAGGAGGGGGCAGAGAGGGGGGATGAGTCTCTGGAGCCAAGGCCCCAGCGCCAGGCCCCGAGGGAATGGCCTCAAGCTGCCCAGGGCAGGGTCAGGCTGGCTCTGAGGAAGGATTTCTGTGCAGAAGGGGCTGTTGGGCGTTGGAATGGGCTGCCCAGGGCAGGGGGGAGTCCCCGGGATCCCTGGAGGGGTTGAAGAGTCGGGCTGAGCCAGCGCTGAGGGGTCTGGGGGAGTTGGGAACGGTCAGGGGGAGGGTCATGGTTGGGCTGGAGGAGTTCAAGGGCTTTTCCAACCCAGATGATTCTGTGAATTTGCTGCAAGCTCGGGTGGAAAGTTTGTCTGGGGCCACCTCCGCTCCTGTCCCGGGTGCTGTATGGACAAACTGAACCAGAGCTGGTGTTTCAGGTTTGGAATTTGTCCAAAGCTTTTGCTGCTCTGACCAAGTATCTCCATGCTCCCGGTTCCCTGCCCTCGACTCATCAAGCAATATTCTTCTTCTCCAGGCTCCCCCCGTCCCGGTTTTCCCTGCCTGTCCTGCTTAATCCTCCCCTCACCCCTCGGACGTGCGAGGGAGCCGAGAGCTGCCTGGCTGCGTAAAGCTCCGCGATTGATGGGAGCGCTCGGAGCCGCCGCTTCCTGGAGCGTTCCGGGATTATCCCAGAGACGTTCCTTCATGGCAGAGTCTGCTCGGCTTCCTCCCCGCGCACGGTTACGCCGTGGCTGCGTGTTCCCGTGATGGGCAGCAGCATAAAGGATGCCTTTCATCCCCCTCTCTCGTGGAGGTTATATTGGGGATTAGCGTTAATGCTCCAGATGTGGGCTGCGGAGAGCATTCCGATGTTATTGGAGAGGATGACATTTTCATTACCTTTCAACACCAGCCCTTTGAATAGCTGTGGGGCACACTCTGCGCTTCGGGACCGGGCCTTTGGTTTATACGGATGACTTGAAAAACCAAAAACTGGGTCATGTCACCGCAATAAGGTGTGATTTCTCTAAACCACTCTCTGCTGCAAGTGCAGGAAGCTTTTCTGTTTTGTTTTGTTTTTTTTTTTCTTCTAACCACAGCTGTGGGAAACTTAAATAACTTGATTTATCCAAGCAGTTTACAGAAACGCCGAGACCCAAACAAACTCTGATGCGCTGTACTCTCTTCTTGAGTGGCTTTTAGGTGTTTTAAGTGCACTTGGAGACTTTGGCGTGTAACTTGTGCCTGAGCGGTTGCGGACGCGCTGTCCGTGCCTCTCCCTTCATTTCCCAGAGCAGAGGAATTGCACCGTCCCCCTCACCTGGAGGTTGTGTTCCTGCCAAAATAACAGAGTGGTGCTTGCCGCTGTACTTCTGGGGAATTGCTTGCAGCCAGGATGGTTTTAATTGCCACCTATTAGAATGAGACAAAGGCTGTGGGTTTGTATTTCTTACGATGGAGTAGACCAGTTAAAAAAAAAAAGGGGGGTGTTTAGCGTAAAGGTGAGTAGATTAACTGGAATGTCTGCTTCAGGGCTACTCACCCTGTTTGCAGAGACTCAGCTCTCCCCTCGCAGTGCTGTACAGCTCATTTAGGCAGGACTTTTCTGGAAAGGCTCTGAAGCCTCCGGGAAGTCATTTATTTCCCTTCTGTGCCTTGGGGTTCTCCTTTACTCTAAGAAAACTCCTCTTTATTTTCAGGTTAAGGCTCAGGGTGCCTCCAGTGCCCTGGGACGTGCACATTTCATCTAGGTGTGCCAGCGGCACGCTGGGCTGGCGGGGTGAGGTGCTGCGAGCAGGGACCGGGCTCCTGAAACGGAGAACTTCGGTTACATGCAGTCCCAACTCCTCTCCCGTGGTGTGTGGACGGGCACGTGCGTGGTTTTGTCTCTCAGGTGTTCCTGGTTTCATTCAATCGCGAGGCGATAGGCAGCGCTGCTTCATCTGCATCACGGCTGCTGCGGCGTACGGGGCGAGTCGCTCTCAGAAACCATTTTATTCCCCAAATAAATAAAACAGAGGCCCCCTGGGATTGCCCAGAGCGTGTGCTAAATCTTGGAGTCTCTTCTCAGTGGTATGCTTGAAGAAAAGCTTTGTTGCAGTATATGTCTGCCCTTATCTTGCTCGGCGTTGGAAAGGCAGGAGGGGAGGAGCAGGGGCAGGATCTGGTGGCTGGGGACGGCTCGAGCGCTGCCACGAGGCTCAGCGCAAGCCTCTGTCCAAAGCCACTCGGTGCAAGGGGGGTGTCTCGTTCCACGCAGCGTTTTTTTGGGTGAGATCGGTTAGAAAGCAATACACAGGGATGGAGCAGCGGGCGTTCAAGCGGACGAGGGGAACCTGTGCTAGTTTCTGCTTTCTCAAGTTCCCGTTTAGCCTGCTAAGCCTTTTCTCCACTTGTGTGCCCTTGGATTTCCAGATGGCTTTCGCAAGGTCGTCCACATCGAGCAGGGAGGATTGGTGAAGCCAGAGAAAGACGATACCGAATTCCAGCATCCCTACTTCATCCGAGGCCAGGAACATCTCCTGGAGAACATCAAGAGGAAAGTAACCAGCGTAAGTTTAGACAACAGATCTCGCTCTCCATTAAACTGTTTAAAAACAGAGGGTTAAGCTGAAAAGCATCAGTGTGCTGTAAGGGTGGAGGGGCGCCGGCGTGCCGGTGTGTGCCAGCGGCGCTGCCTCTGCCCTCTCCCTGGCTACGAGCCACAGCCCGTCCTGGTGACCAGCTGCCCCCGGGTCCTCGGGGCCAGTCCCTGCTCGTCGTGGGGCTTTTCCCCAAGGTTTTCCGTGTTGGGTTCTTCACGGCACCGCTGGAGACTTCCCCTCTCTCCCCCAGCACCAACAGAAAGCAGCCAGCGCTCTGGCCTCGCGAGCCAAATTGTTTCTGAGTTCAGTAAGCAAGGTCGCTATATTTTTCCTGTTTTTCTGAGCAAGTAGCATCTGTTTGAGTTTAGCTTGGTGGAGGGAAGTTTGCTGCATCCTCTGGAGAGACTGAAGAGCAATTGTACCTTCCAGTCGGAGGCAGAGTGATCGCTCATCGAGCTGCAGCCTTTGCTCAGAATGCATCAAGGAATGAAACATAAGCCCGTACGCTGTGTACTCACACAGACGTGCGAAGATAACGTCAGACGTAGTAGTGAAGGGAGGAAAAGGAAGGACCTGAGTTATTTTAAATGTGTTAACCTCCCGTGCATCCCACACGGAAACTTTACGCCTTTTCCCTTTACACTCGCAGATGCTTCACAACTGCCCCCGTTTCTCCAACTGCAGACTCGCAGTCCATGTGCTGAAGACGTGGTAGAGCAGCAGTTGGTATCAGGAGTTCCAGAAATGCTTTAGCAACTTTCCAGGCTAATTTATTAGGCCTGAAGTGTGGGCTGGAGAAACATGTTTTTGTCATTCTGTCCCAAATATTAATCAAAGCAATGTGTAGAGAGCAGCTCGCTCTCCCGTCTATCCCAGGATGCTCTCAAATATCCGTCAGTGCCATTTTCACTGAGGCATTTTAGTTCCTCTGGACATTTTCACAGTGGGCAAACGCCTTAGAAGGATGTAAAGAGATCTTAAAGATATATGACCCGCTGGCAAGCGAAGTGGAGGGAAGCTGCTAGTGAATAGGTGAGACGTGTTAACCCCTATAACACTTGGCAGATTCATAGACTTCTCACGTGGTGCGGCCCTTGTGAAACATGCCTGGGTGTCATTTCTCGTGAGTATTTTATCAGAAAAATAAAATCCTCTGCTCAGAATCTTCCCCTCGGCTGCTTTAACACTTGTAGTGGAAATGATGAGGATGCCAAGCGACCAGCAGCTGCCCAGGGATCTCGGGCAGAGGCTCACGGTTCTGCCTGGGGGCCTCGGCTGCAGCGAGCTCATCTGCCGCCTTCCTCTGGATTTTCTCAGCCCCACTAATGACTTTCTTAATTGCCAAGACCGTTATTCAGCTCACTGCACGCAGCAGAGACTTCTGAACGCGTGCGAGAAGGAAGTTTGGTTCCCGTTTGCCGGGCGAATGCGCTCCCTGGTCTTTGTGGCCGCGAAGTTTTAATTTTAGGACTGTCATAAACAGGCAGCGAGCCAGGAGATTCTTTGGTGAAGGTTTGCGTGGGCAAACAGCTCTTGTGCAGGCCTTCAGTTTTATCTGAGCGCCGTATTTCGGATCCAAAAAGATAATATTTTTTTTTTTTTTTTTTTAGGCTGCGACAGAGTTTGATCTTTCCAATTAGCAACTTGCTTGCAGAAAACTTGGAGAAAACTTGGTTTTAGGTCCTGCGCTCGGGTGTGAAGGCAGGGGTTGGTCTAGAGAGGGGAGGTGAATGATTTCCAGTATTGACTTTGAAGCTTAAATAACCGTTTTGTAGGAAGGAAGCACCACTGACATCTTCCTTTCTGTCTCCAGGTATCCAGTATAAAGAACGAGGATATAAAGGTTCGGCAAGACAACGTGACCAAGTTACTGACTGACATCCAGGTGATGAAGGGAAAGCAGGAGAGCATGGACTCCAAGCTGATAGCCATGAAGCAGTATGTATGTGGGGACAGGGGGGCGGAAAAGGCAGGAGAATTTGCCCGGAGATTTCTTTCCTCAACACATTGTTTTTAAGGCTTTATCCAAGAGAAGCCTGGCTGCTGCTGGCTTCCTCTCTGCTCCAGCTTCCAGTTGTCTCAGGAGCACAGCCTGGGCTTTAAGAGCCATGGAGGGACCTTCTGAACACAATCCAAACCCATTACAGACCCCGTGGCCTGGCGGGCAGGCCCGTGACCCCAAACACAGCATCGGGCTTCTTGGAGGCCTCAGGTGGAGGCTGTGAGACCTCGGGAGCCTCCTTCCCTGCCACGGGGTTACAGTCTGACACTCACTTAGTGCCTGGTGCTGGGATTTGCCCTTGTGATTTTTTTTTTTTTTCTTTCCCTCCCGCAAAGCACAACTATTGTCTCTTGCCCGAGGCTGCACCAGGGTGTTCAGGTCATTGGGGCTAAGGTCTGCTGTCCTGTTCTAGCACTGGATTCTTACTCCAGGCTCTTACTTGCACCCAGTTAAACTCCCACGGGGTTTTGGCTCACCCAGTGTTTGCTGTTGGGTTGGGAGGCGAAATGGTCGGTCTTGGGTCCCGCTAGTAAATACTGCCTCACCTCTAGAGACTGTCAGGGCACTGCTGCTCATCCTTCTGTGCCTTTTTCCCGGAATTCTGTGAAGGAGAGTCTCTAAGTGATGCACCAGGAACTGGCTGCCCTCCCAGAGAGCGGGAGCTGTGTGTCATCTGCCAGTTGTAAGCCTTGCACCGACACTCAGAGTTTAAGTTTAATACCTCTTGAGGCCAGTGCGGGGCTGTGGGTGTCCGATTCCCTCGGGCACCTTTATAAATCTTGATTTAAAGCGCTGCTTGTTTTTTTGGTTTTTTTTTTCTTGTTTACCTCTCCACAAAGTGGAATGAATCTGACATCAGTGAAGTTTATTTTATGCCTGGCTTCCTCACCACTGTTTCTAAGGAATTTGGTTCTGGGTCTTATGGAAAACAGAGCGAGCAGCCCTCCATTCCCTCTGGCTGAAGCAGGGCAGTGGGGGGAGATTTTGAGAAGACAGTTTTGCAGGGGAAAAAATATTTCCTCCACGCTGTGTTCCCTTTTCTTGGGTTTCATTACTCTCTCTTGTGCTTGCAGATTGCTTCTCTCACACCTCTGGTGCTCACGGGAGGGGAGGGAACCTGCTTCGCCTCTGAGGTCGTTCTGGGTGATTCCCTTCATCTTTGCTTTGCCCCGGGTACAAGGGCCTGGCCTTGCATCTGGGCTGTGCTTCTCCTCAGGCTCTTTGCAAGGGGAGAGAGGAAAGTCGATTGTCCTGTAAGCTGTTGGGAGGTGGCGGTGGGTGGAAGGTGGTCGTTGGGGGTCTGTAGGCAGCAGAGGTGGCTCCGCCTCTGCTTTCCCTTCCAAGTGAGCAAAGCGACTTGCCCAGCGTGGCTTTGAGGGGAAAAAAAACCTGGTGTGTGGCCGACCTTGAGCGACCGAAAAGTGACCTTAAGGCAGCAGAATCCTGCGTGTGGCCAACAAATTCTTCATGAGTCCTCCAGCAACTGTACAGGCTCTGTCGAATGACTCGTGAGTAGAGAACCCGCCACTAAATCCACAGCAGCGTAAACCTGTGTGTCCCTGGCTCGGGGGCCGTTCTTTCCACTTTTCTGGAAAAGCAATCAGCTGCCTAAAACAATTAGTTTGCCGCTCCCTGGGACGCATCGTGTCTTTTGGCAGGTCTGGGCCCAGCCTTATCGCCACAAGTTCGTGTGGGAGGCTTCTGCCTTTGCACGTTTGCTTTCTGTCCGTCGCAGGAAGAAGAAACACCCCCAGGAGCCACCTTTAAACCCAGCTGCTCGGCCCTGGGGCCCCGCCGCGTGGTGCTCGCCTGAACTTCGGTGGCTTCGGCGGTCCCGTGGCGCGTTTTGGGTTGAGGCGTCTGGGCTCAGCCCCCTGGATGAAGGACGAGAGCATTCACAAATGCATTACGGGTCTCTAGGCTGCGTCCTGGCGGCTCCATTGGCTCTCGCTAGAACATTAGCATCATTAATTATAAATGGTCTGTAAGCCGCTAGGTGGAGTGCCTACAGCGGCGCCTGGAGCTCTGTGAGGAGCAGAGAACTGACGGCCTCGCTCAGGGCAGCGCCGCTTCCCCCTCCTTCCAGGAAGGGGGTTACCGACCGGCTGTGATTGGCACTTTGTGGGAAGCTCGTCGGGTAAACAGGCTCCTGGAGGACAGTCGGAACGGAACGATTTGTGTGGACTGAGCGTCCTGCAGCGGCCCGTTGGCAGGGTGTCTTCTCCTGGAAAAAGGGTGTGACGTCACCCTTTTATGGGTGTGATGTCACCCTGTTACGGGTATGAGCATCACCCTGTTCTAGGTGTTATGTCACCCTGTTACGGGTATGAATGTCACCTTGTTCTGGGTGTAACATCACCCTGTTCTTGGTGTGTAACATCACCCTGTTCTGGGTGTGACGTCACTCGTTCTGGGTGTGATGTCACTTGTTGGTGTGATGTGTAACGTCACCCTGTTCTGGGTGTGACGTCACTCGTTCTGGGTGTGATGTGTAACGTCACCCTGTTCTGGGTGTGATGTCACCCTGTTACAGGTATGAGCATCACCCTGTTCTGGGTGTGGTCACCCTGTTCTGGGTGTGACGTCACCCTGTTCTGGGTGTGATGTGTAACATCACCCTGTTCTGGGTGTTATGTCACCCTGTTATGGGTGTGACGTCACCCTGTTCTGAGTGTTATGTCACCCTGTTACGGGTGTGAACGTCACCTTGTTCTGGGTGTGTAACATCACTGTTCTGGGTGTGCTATCACCCTGTTCTGGTGTGATGTCACCCTGTTCTGGGTGTGATGTCGCCCTTCTCCTGGTCCCAGCCCAGCAGCCTGCTGCTCCCGCTCCATCCCGCCCCGCGGCTCTGTCACTCGGCCGCGGGAGCTGCTCTGATGGCCAGCACGACAGAAAATGGCCAGCACAAAACCAAGGCAAGGTCAGCGGCGGGTCTGGGAACGCCGGAGCGGGGCGATGGGCCCGGCCCCCCCCGGCTGCACGGCCGAGCGAGGGCTCTGCGGGCTCTGCGTGGAGCTGCCAGCTCTCTGTAGCTCTCGCAGCCGTTAGTAACCGGGGTTTTTCCGTCTTCTACAGGTTCTCTATCCCTCAATAAACCCAGCTTTTGGGGCTACATTTCATTATCTGTAAGTTTTCCCGTCGCCGTTGTTAGTGCCGGATCCCCGTGCTCCGACTGCTGTTCCTTTTCTGGAGGGGCAGAGCTTGCAAACCGTATTTCATGTCTCCATTTTCTCGGGGACTTGCGGTTAAAAACTCTCTCCTTGCCGCTCGAATAACAAGACATCCAATTCACTTCAGCTCAGTCTTTTCAGGTCTGGATCTGCCCTTCAAAACGCCTGCTGGTTCTGAGCGCCGCGTCGTTGCCACTTGTTTTCTTGACAAGTTTTTCAAGTGTTCTGGAGGGCCTGCTGGTTTACATCGCCTTGCGGCTCCACAGGAGGGTTATTCCAGGTTCTCCTCCATCCCTTCGCCACACCAGACTCGCACCTGCCCAGCTGCCAACGTTTCCTGGGTGAAGCTGTGGATTCAGACCTTCAGGTCGTGCCTCTTGCGCCACCGCTTCTCGGTGGATTCCTGCCTTCGCTGCACCACAAAGCCTGCAGAGGTCCCTCCGGGAAATCCAGAGGGAATAACAGCTTTTAATCCCTCAACGTGGGGGCTTGAAATACTTTAATGGCTTAATACAGGAGCCGCTTCTACCTGCACAAGATGGAAGAGACTTGAGTCACGGGCGCGGAACTTCCCGGCCGTTAACGCAGGCAGAGGGCTGGTGGCTGAGAAAAAAACAAAACAAAACAAAACAGTTCAGGCTGCGACAGTCTTGGACTCACAGAATTCCAGAATCATCTGGGTTGGAAAAGACCTCGGAGATCAACTAATCCAAGCATTAACCTCCCACTGCCCGTCCTCGGCCGGGAGGAGGCCGGCTCTCACACTAACCGGTGCGTGTTGCTCTTTGAGGGAGAAGTTTAATAATGGTCTCCTGAAGTGTTTTTTTTTTTCCCAGAATTTTTTTTTTTTTCCCAGAAATGAAGTTTTTTTGCCGCAGCGTGGTTCAAACTTGCTCACTCTGGTCTTACACCCCCTCGCTTCTCAAAACAGCCATCGAGTGCAGGGATTGTCTGGAGTCATTTGTGTGGAGTGAATGTCTTGAGGGTTTTTTTTTTCCAACGGTGAGTTAGAAATGGGTTAATTTTGCTGCCAAAACAGCATATTTTTGTTTGTCTAAGTGCGGGATGACTAGGAATAAGGAGTGGTAGCTCTGAAAATTAGCTTGCAGCAGGACCAAAACACCCTGCAACCATTCTCTTTTGATAGTAATGGTTGTGCGTCGGGGACCGCGGTTGCCTGTTGCCTTTGTAAAGGCGTGGGGAGCCTGGTGTAGGAATTCTGCATCACGGAGTAAGCTGTGAGAAAGAAACCCCAGTGCTAGGAAACCAGCTGAGTGATGAGCTGCTGGAGGAGCTCGGCCTCCTCACCTGGGGACGGAAGGTGAACGAAGGCCGATGTGCACCCGTGGAGGTAACTCCGGCCTGAGGAGCAGCAGCTTGAGCATTTTCCATGTGGCGACAGAGGGGGAAATAGATAAAATAGTCTGTGCTGTGTGGAAGGAAGTAGTGGGGGGATACATGGAAGGCTGTGGTTGATTCCTTCACCGCTAGGATTGAAGATTCACCATTTCAGGCCCAGCAGTTGGACCTGACGCGGGAGCAAGCCCGTGTAAGTGCCACGGCTTGGTGATGATCTCGGGGCTCTGGGGTTTGGGGGATTGAAAATCTGAGTGCGGCCTGGAAGGATTTCAGCGCCTGGTGTCTGGTGAGTGCTCTGCTCGCCAGCAGGCCTGTCCCCATCTCACGGATTTTGGAGGAATCCGGTTCCAAGCCTTCTCCCCGCTAAGGAGCACCGGCATGAGCTGACTGGGAATGTGACTTTG